CACTGAATTGTCCATGTGAAAATGGTTGAAATGGCCAATGTTTCGTTATATGCATTTTACCACAATAAAATTTTTAAAAAATAAAGAAAGAAGCAGCAGCAACCACCTAACACTACAATCCGTGGATTCCTTGGCCCTTCATGCTATTCTAAGGCAGACACCATTGGTCTACAGCTCTCATTGGGGAGCATCCAGAGCCTTAATGATGAGAAATCAGGACTTTATCTAAGGAGGTCTGGTGGCACAATAGTTGAGCTCAGCTGCTAACCGAAAGCTCAGCAGTTCGAACCCACCAGCCCTGTCCGAGGGAGAAAGATGCAGGAGTCTGCTTCCGAAAGATTTACAACCTTGGAAACCCTATGGGGCAGTTCTACTCTGTCCTACATGGTTGCTGTGAGTCAGAATCTACTCGACGGCAGTGGGTTTATATTGAGGGCTAAAGGGAGCCACTGATTTAGATTTAGGGAGATCCCTCTGGTGGTGTAGTGGTTAAGAGCTACAGTTGCTAACCAAGAGATTGGCAGTTTGAATCCACCAGATGCTCCTTAGAAACTCTACAGGGCAGTTCTACTCTGTCCTATAGGGTTGTTATAGTCAGAATCAACTTGACGGCAGTAGGTTTGGTTTTTTGCGTTTTGTTTTTTTCCTCTGGTGGGCAGATTATAAAAACCCCGGAAAACCTGTTCCTTGATAAGAATAACTGTTTTCTGCTGAGACCCTGAAGCACTGGGCATGGCCAAGCTGCAGACAGAAGCTCTGTCTGGGGCTGGGGTTGAAGAAACACCCAGTGATGCCAAGGCCACCCAGTGCCCCACAGGGTGTGGGTGATGGGGGTGTGGATGCAGCCCAGAACTACCCACCTGCTGGGCTGGAAATGGTGAGTGCTAAAGCAGAGCGCTGCTCAAGGACTCTGGCCCTTCCTTTTTACCCAGCACCTGGCCCCTTTCCTCCATTTCAAAAGCCAGAAATGCCAGACACCCATTTTCCCAGCTTCCTTTGACCCAGGGCAAAGGCTTATGTCTTAGGCCCAGCCAATCAAATGTACCTTGCCTGGAGTTTGACCCAGAGCAGTGACCAGCTGGACTGCAGAGACTGCTGTGGTGGAGGGCAGCGGCAGACTTGGCTGTGCCTATGGTGAGGGTCAGCAGAGTTGTGACATCCCCCTGCTTGCCCCTGCTGGCAGGGCAGTGGTAAACTCACCGAGTCAAAGCATAACTGCAATGTGGGCTGAAGACTCTGCTTGACCTACAGCCCTCAGAGTAGCTCTGCAAAGTACACAAAGTCCTTTATGTAAATCCAGTTTCTGTTTAAGTTGGGCAGAGTCAGTTTCCTCCAACTGATAGAGAAGTTGTCACCAGAAATGGGAGCAGGAGATAGGCCCCCAGGGAAATGGGGTCATGTCTGGACTGGTTGGAGCTGAAGGCAGTGAGAATCCAGCTGGGATGAAGGGAAAGGCTCTGACATTCCGGGGCAGACAGGGGAGACAGAACTAGTAAAGTCACCAGCTGGTCACTCAGGTAGTGAGCTCATTGAAGACAAGACTTTGAGAGACCCAGGGCGTCTGCCTTAGAATAGCATGAAGGGGCAAGGAATCCATGGGCTGTGATGTTAGGTGGTTGCTTCTTTTTCTTTTTCTTTTAAAAATTTTATTGCAGTAAAATATATATAACAAAACATTTGCCATTTCAACCATTTTCATGTGTACAATTTAGTGACATTATGTTCACCATGTTGTGCAACCATCACTATTTTCTCATCACCCTTAACAGAAACTCAGGACCCCTTAAGCAATAAGTCCCCCTTTTCTCCTCCCACGCGCCCCTGGTAATCACTAAAAACTTTGGTCTCTATACATTTGCCTATTAGGTGGTTGCTTCTAATGCCACCAAACAGCTTAAAGGAAAAGAACAAGGTCATATTCCTACCTGTCTTTGTGTCAAGGCACAAATTGCAAACTTTCTCAACTTCGCTAAACCAAAAAAAAAACAAAAACCAAACCCATTGCCACCGAGTCGATTCTGATTCATAGCGACCACATAGAACAGGGTAGAACTGCCCCACCTAGGGTTTCCAAGGAGTGACTGGTGGATTCAAACTGCCAACCTTTTGGTTAGCAGCTGAGCTCTTAACCGCTGTGCCACCAGGGCTAGGAGTCTCTTTTCTCTTGGAACCACAGGGCTGAGATAGTCCATCATCAAGCCCAAAGGCTGGCTCTGTGGGTTCCAGATTAAAATACTGGTTGCATTCACAGCCTCACTAAGTCTTGTACGTGAAAGTTAGGCACTGATCAGGAAAGAGCGGGACCAGGAAACTGGACCACTCCACATGCCAGCATTCAGGGGTTGATCCCAGTCCTCACCGTCACTGCCCGTCAGCTCTACTGACACAGCTGGCCACACCCTCCTCCTTCACACATTCACCACACTCACACCCAGGTCCCCACACTCTCCTAGTTCTTCTACTTCACTGACCGCTCCTTCTTGGGTTCCTTTGCAGGCTCTTCCTCATCTCCATCTCTTGATGTTCAGTGCCCAGAGCTCGCTTGGTCCTTGGCCTCATTTCTTCTCTATTTACATTCCCCTTGGAGACTCATGGCTTCAAATACCATCTACACACTGAGGATACCACGTCTTCTCTCCAGCCCAGGCCTCTTCCCTCACCTCCACACTCACAGATGCAACTATCCTGTCAACATCTCCATTTGTATGTCCAACTGGCATTCCAACTTAACACACCCTCAACTGAACTGCTGACCCTCACCGCCCACCAGCTTCCCCTTGGGCTTCCATACCACATACGTAAGTGGTAACTCTGTCCCTTGGCATCATCTGTCTCACATCCTCTCATCCAAATCATTAGTCAACCTTGACTCTACCTCCTAAATATAAGCAGAATCTGACCACTTCTTGGAAGCTCCATCACAAGCATCATTGCCTCTCACCTGGATTACTGCAGCAGCCTCAGACAGGTCTCCTGACTTCCATCTGATCTGCCCTATTAATCTAGCCTCCATTCAGCAGCAGCCAGAAGAATCCTTTTAAAACATTTGTGACATTTGTCAGATCAAGTAACTCCTCTGTTCAAAGCCATTTACGGGATCCCCATTTCCAAGATCCCACATCATCTGCACCCCATGACCTCTCTGACCTGATCTTCCTCCTCCTCACTCCCTCCTCTCCAACCACCTTCTTGGCTCACTAGGCATAGTCCTGCCCTTGGAGCCTTGCAGGCCTTTTTTTCTTGTAATGTTTTTATTATTATTATTATTATTGTGGTAAGTACATAGGTAACAAATCACTGGCCATTTTTACAATCTTCCTACTTACAGTTTGGTGACATTATGTTCATCATGTTGTTCAACCACCACCATTAACTGTTCCTGAATTTTTCTATTACCCTTAATAGAAGCTTAGCGTCCCCTAAGTCCCCTCCAGGCCTTTGGTCAATGTCATTGTCATCTTCTCAGTGAGGCCTTCTTCCAGCCTCCTCCCACACCCCCTCCCCTTTGTTCCAGCACATTCTGATACACTTATTTCACTTGTTTACTGTGTCTCCTGTCACTAGAATGTCAGCTCTGTGATGGCAGGGTGTTTTGCCCATTGTGCTTACTGCTGTTTCCCACTGCTTAGCACATGGTGGTGTTGTTAGGTGCCATCAAGTTGGCTCCGACTCTTACCAACCCTACGTATAATAAAATGAAACGTTGCCCTTCGACATCCTCATAATAGCAGGTATGTTTGAGCCCATTGTTGCAGCCACTGTGTAAGCACTTAATAAACGTGTTAAATGAATGAATTAACTGGAACAAAGATATATGAAAGAATTCAGAGGAATCAGATGACTACCAACCCCAGCCTCTTCTGCACCTCCCTTGCCCACTGAAGCAAAGTGTCCTCCCCCTAAAAACTTCATGAGGCTTTAGGAATTAACTTGTAAGAGAAAGTCAACGTTTCTCATGGCCCCCTCCCCAACTTAATATCTCCAGTGCCTTAGAGGTGGATTCCAGCATGTTGGAGGACTCTATTACAAAGTCAAGCCCAGAAGGGAGGACTTATGTATCAAGAGAATCATAAAACTTTGTTAGTTTATGTTGGCCAAAATATGGAGAATATGTTTGGGAATAGACCCCTAGACCAAGGAGATAAGAATGTAAATTCCGGTTGGATGGAATTTACAGGTGCACTTAGCCAAGACTTTGGATTAATTGTGCTGGCTCAAGCTGTTGGCGGTTATTCTAATTTTCGTTGGTTGGCTGAATGGAAGCTGAGTCTCACTAAATGAAGCTGAGATGCCAAAAGTGCCGTGGTGTAAAGAATCCAACGGCTTAGGAAGATTCATTCATTCATTCAAGATAAATGTTGGACTGAATTTTTCATAGACAAATCACCCTTTCCCAAACTGAGTTCCTGGAGGGGGCCCAGAAGATATTCTCTTCACCAAAGGCCTTGGCAGGAAGTTCATTGGTGAGGGGAGCGTCTTTGAAAAGCACTGAGTCCCTGTTCTCTGTGGGTCAGGGATTCTAGTGGAAGGCACTACAGTTGAAAATAGCCCCTTGATACTAGAACCCTGAGGCGACAGGAGCCAAGTAGCAGTGCTGAGCTGTCAGAGGAGAGGCAGGTGTGGCGACTGTGATGTGCCAGTAGGACTTACAGGTAATCGGAATGGTCAGACCTACAGGGATCTTTGGCAGTAGGTCCCTGATCACCAGGCCCCTACGTCCAAAAGTCTAAAATAGAAAGGACAGAGTTCTATTTGATGTACATATCAAAAGAACTCGAGGCCCAACCAGCAGGGACCTGACCAAAACAGAGAGGACCATGCACCAATTTTCCAGAGAAGATTAGTTCACACACTCAGAGGCCCCTGAAGGAAGTGGGATGGGTGCCCTTTAAGAAGAAAAAAAACCCACTGCCTTCGAGTCGACCCTATAGGACAAAGTAGAACTGCCCCATTTGGTTTCCAGGTTTCCAAGGAGCACCTGGAGGATTAGAACTGCTGATCTTTTGGTTAATAGCTGTAGCTCTTAACCATTACGCCACCAGGGTTTCCCCTTCAAGAAGGGCCCTGTGAAAATGGCACAGGTTCATGCTGGTACTTTCCTTATGACGCTCCTGAGACCTGCAGCCATTCACCACGGTGTGCCAGACACTATTTCTGGTCTACCACAAAGCCATTTTTCCCTTTTAATAATTTTGCTCAAACAATAATGTGCCCACCCCCAGGAGATAACTAATGATTGGTCTAAACCAAACGTGACAACACTCCCTGTGCTAGTGAGTGGTTTAAGGGTGGTATCCAAATCCATTACAATGCAAGTCAAGTGTTGTTGAAACCTATGTCTTTGCAACATATTCCAGTCTATCCAAATATCCCCAATCCTATCTGATGGCTATTGTTTCCTTGCAACCCACAATACCACAGAATTTCTCAACATGACAATAATATAATGCCCTTTCTAGGTTGTGTTACGACATTGGACCTGAAGAAAAATTCTGGTAGTGGATCCCCCCACAAATATGCCTCTTGCTCAGGGGTGAGGGCCCAGCACCCTAGACAGCCCAGAAAACACTTGAGACCTGCCCATATGTGCCAGGCCCAGGGCTTATTTCAGGGCAAGACAATATCCTTGCCAGAAAGGGATAAGCACAGGGGTGGGAGCTAAACCAAGGACCCCCGACACACCTAGGAGAAAGATCACAACCTGGTGAGTCTACAGAGCTGGCCAGAAAGAACACTTCACAAATGGAGAGCTGGTTACAGGATACAACCTTAAACTCTTGTGTGTTTTTAAAAAGTATTTATTGCAAGGAATGCTGGACACAGTGTGATGTGGGCTGAGGTTCGATGCCATCCATTCCAGGGAACGTAGGAAAACATCTGCAACATGAACACCTCAACCGTCACGGCCACAACATGGCACCCGCTGAGCCAGCATGGTGCGGCCCATGCAGAGCCCACTCCAGGGCAAAGGCCAGGGAGAGGGGCTGCCCCGTCCATGCTGTGACCCCTGACCCCCCAGATACCATCTGTGTGCACAGAGGGAAGGCCTTGGTGGTCTCGCCTCAGCCAGCTGGAGGTCCTGTGAGAGGTGGTGACATGCAGATGCATACGCCCTGCCACTGACTGAAGGGACAGGCTGTGGCTCACAAGTGAGCATGTCCAGCTGACCAAAAGTCACCAAAATCCAGGGGGCACAGAAGCAGAGGCCACAGTTCCCACGTCCCAAAGGCAGGGGCATGGTTCTCTGGCCCAGGTGTAAGCAAGGGACCCTCAGAGACACGGAGTGCTGCCCCCTCCATGCTGAGAGGGGCTTGGGGCTCTAAGAGGAGGCCTAAAGGACGGCCTTGCCCTGGCCCCGGGCATCTCTCCACCCGTGTTTGTCCACAGCTGCTGCTGCACACGAGGCAGAGAGACCACCAGCCTGGGCCGGGGACCCTGACTCCTCTCAGGAGCGCTGGCACCTGCAGGCTGCAGAGCCCTGGGGGGCTGGGAAGGGTGGGCTGCACTGTCAGAAATAGCCCGGGAAAGGTTCCAGGGACAAAGTAGGCTTCAAGATCCTGGGGCCTGGCTTCACCAAGGTCTACCTGCAGACAGCCAGGCACCCGACTACAAGTCCAGCCACCTTCTGACCCAGCCCCATACCCTGCTGGCCGGCAAGTCGCTGGATCTGTTTGCCCAGCTGTATAACGGAGCTGGACCCCGCTGCCCAGCCTGCCTCTCTGTGCCCAAAAGAACACAGGGGCACGACAGACACAGGGCCTCATGGGCTCAGAGGCATAGGAAACAAAAGCTGCAGCGTGCTTGGGACTACCTCCAGGCTCTGTCCCTTCCCCTCCCCAGTCTCAGAGGTAGAGGTCAGCAAATACCAGGACAGGCTGGACAGGCCCAGGACTAGCTTTTCTGAAGAATGCAGGGCAAACACCTGTGTCTGCCCCCAGTGTATGCTCCAGTGTGGACACAGCTGCAGGCGAGGGCCACCTCCTCCCAGCTCTCAGCACGAACAGCGGGGAAGGGACAGGGGATGGCGTTCTCTTCCTGAGCACTTCAGTGTGAGCACAGGGAAGGGAACTCGGACAACTGCCCGTCTTGAAGTGGCTTCACCACGACAGCAGTTAGGAAGGGCGGCCTTGGCCGCCAGTGCCCACAGTACTTCAGCGTAAGCCCAACTGGGAAGGGGTGACCACAGCGCGCCCCTCCCGCAGTGTTTCTGTGCATCTCAAGTACTGAAAGCACGTTGCTTTCATGAAGGCCCACAAATGCCAGTGATGCAGACATGAGGCCCGGCCGCGGCTGCCCTAGGAGGCAGCTGCCCGGGCTGAAACTCTTCAGTTCCCGCTGGGGAAGGATGAGGTGGCAGAAGCTCAGAATCCTGTGAAGCCCTTGCCTCTGGCTCAGGAAGCGGCCACAGGGAGGACAGCAAGGCCCCTGTAAGGGGTTGCCAGGGCCACCCCGGCAGGTCGGCCACAGTGGGAACAGCACGACAGTAAAGCACTTTCCATTTCACATTTCAGGGGTTCACACTTGGCAAAGCCAGCCCGACCTGGTGAGAGAGAACACCTAAAAGCCGCAACAGAAGTCTCTCGCTAGGCCGCGCAGACGCAGTCTGGCTGAGGGATTCTTAGCAGCAGGTCGGGAACCACGTACAGCCCGGTCACTGACTGTCACCAAGGAGGCGGGTGGGCTGGGGCGGGGGCTCTGGGCACCGCCAGCACACATAGCTTCAAGGGCGCTCCTGCATGATGACTGTCACATGGACCAGGGGGCCTGGAATGACTCGTCTGCAGAGAGCAACGCCTGCCCACGGTTGCAGTGGATGAGACACGATCACTGGTGAGCAGGGACTGTGACAAGGGCTTCCTCTGGTGGCCTTGAGATGTCTACATTCTGCACAACATGGAAACACAGAACATCACCCTGCAGCAGAACAGACGGGCCGACCGCTGCCTGTGCTCCTCATCCCTGTGACTGTCTGGGCTCACATTCTCACCCCGAGACCCCCACCTTCCCCAAGAGCGCTGGGTCAAGGGCCTCTCAACACACAGGGGATGGGCAAACGAACAAAGGGAGGGTGGAGGCTATACTGGCTCGCGCCCTGTCCTCAGCAGAAGTCGGCACCACCGGGCCAGGGAGAAACAGACACGTGTCGTGTCCTCCACTGCAGACAGCTCAGGCGTTAACCAGAGCGAGGCCGCTCCCACCTTCTGCCTCAGGGTCTTGGTCACCTGGGAGGGAACACCTGGTTTGGAGCTTACTTCCTCATCAGTGAGGGCAAGAAAGGGAGGACCATCTCCTGGGGGTGCCGCCCTCCTGGCTCTGGCTGTCAGTGGACAAGTGTCAGATGTAGCCCTGGCAGCATGTGGACATCTCCTAGTCTGCAGCCTGGCTGTCCCCTCAGGGCCAGGGCACAGCCCTCCACCCCCAAGGCCCTCGGCTACAGTTGGCCCCACCAAGCCGCAGAGCCCAGAACCGTCTAAAGCCTGCTTGAGCTCAGGACTTCTCAGGCCTGAGGAACAGGGGGTCTGAGACTTCCCTCAGCTTCTATGAGCTGGTGACCCCAGTCCTGGTGGCCCATCCTCCTGACTGGGGGCCCTCACAGCCAACACCTGCAGGAGCAGATCACTGATGACCTGGGCGGTAGCCCCGTGCAGCATGACATGCCAGATCTGCAGGCAGGGCGGCCTGGGCCCTGTGGCCCACAGCCAGGTCCACAGGGCCGACACCAGAATTGCAGCAGGGACAGGTGCAATTCTCACTAGGGGAGACCGGCTTCCTGAGAACCCTCTTTCCCACCACAGCCTGCCCCCACGAATGAGCCAGGAGACTATGGGATTCTGTCCACCTGCAAGGAAACCATCTGGAAACACTGTGGCCAGCAGAAGTGTGCCTCTCCGAGGGACCACACAGAGGTGGGCAGAGTGGCTGTCAGCTGCTACCCTGAGGAGCAGCCTCTCTCGCCATCACCCGGTTGGTGTTGGGGCCAACACTGTCTGGGCTTTCCTCGGCCCAAAGGATGCCTGTTAGGACATGCCTTCCCCTGTGACCTGGGGTGCCTGACTGGGCCTGGATCAGACTTGGCCAAGGCGTGGACAAGACCAAACTCTCAAGGCAAATGGGGAAGTCCAGCACAGTGACTGGCCCTAGCTAGGGGCAGCAGCCTTGGAAGGAACAGGACATACCCACGTCTCTGCCCGCAGGGATTAAGGCCAAGGGGCTGCAGGTGAGCAGGGGCACCTGGTAGGCAGGCAGGATGTCCTGGTCCAGCCCAAGGCCTGTACCCTGGTCAGGAACCCAGGGTCCAAGCAGGCCCCACTGTGGATGGCAACAGTCAGGACTGAGGCCCCAGGAGCCTTCTCTGTGCAGCGGACTCCGGAAACTGGGACTGGGGTCCCAGAAGAGGCAGTCCTGCCCTCGGCCTCAGTGGGAGGGGTAGCCAGCATGGAGGCAGGATGCCATATGGGCAGTAACAGTGGTCTGGGAAATACCTGGAGGAACTTCTACCTTAAACAAGGCACCTGGGGAACACAGGGCGATGAACGGCTCTCAGAGACTGCATGGCCCTGACCCCAACAAAGCACATCACTGTTGTAATTTTTAAGGGTGCATGAGTTGGAAAAAGTGCTCATAAGGCCTGGGGGAGGAGGTATGGGAGAATGTCCATCTGTGCCCTTGTAGGCTCTCAGCCACTTCCCCAGCGGGGACCTCACTCCTTGACTCAGATCTCACAGGGGGCAACTGGGGAGCCCCTCATGTTCCAGGAACAACCACACCCAGGCTCAGGTGCATCCTGAGGATCTCCCCACCTCCAAGGATCTCCCCAACCCCAGAGCAGCAGGCCTTGGGGAAGTGCCCACCTTAGGGTCACCCCCAGGGCCACGGTCCCACTGACAGTAGAATAGCCTTGGCAGAGAACAGCCCTGGCAGATAACTCCAGCTCACTCTGGCAGGCACCCCAGCTAGGCCTGGCCCTGGGTGACGCTATGTCTGGGTACCCCCAGGAATATGTCCACCACCCCAGCAGTGACCCCATTGCTACCTGAGGCCTATCCCGGTGTGTGTTCACAGCCTCCACATTCAGGAATATGGACTCCACTTTACAACCTGCCAAAGGGAAGATGCAAACCCATTCCACCTCCAGAAAGGCAGCGGGAGCCAGAGGGTAGAGACTTCTTCCAGGAGGTAGCTTGGGCAGCGCGGAATAGAACAGCCATCTCAGCCTCACCCAAGTCCCCCCACCTGAGTCAGCATGGGGCACCCAGCGAGGAAGGCAGCCCAGTCAAGCCTGTGCTTATCCACACGTGACTGCCCGGTGCAGCCTTGGCATGGAGCCAACCCCCAGACATGGCCACAGGGAAGCTCCCAGTTGCCACCCTGCCCTGGACTGAGGGCAGTCTGAGGTGTAACGGGCCTAAGCTCCACATGGGGCCACTTACTCTCACAATCTGCAGAGCCCCCAAACCATCCACACCCCAACTCTGCCACACAAGGCCAAACGAACTGCTAAAACCTCATAGCAGGCGCTCGGTGCCATGGGAGGCAGGAGGGTTATCACAGACTGGAAAGACGCCAGCTACCACTGAGCTCTATCCTCCCCCAGAGCCACAGCAGGACCACCTGAGCAGGGGCTGGTGGACTGTGTTAAAGACAAGGAGGCCAAGACCCAGGGGTTAGCAAGTGTACTGAGTGAGTGAGGGCATAGGTGCAGCCAGAGTATCTTAAGGTCTGGGCCCTGGGGGCTGGGGGGCTGGGGGGCTTCAGAGAAACCAGAGGAAAAGCCCTTCACGTGGGCGGGAGGGTGGAAGGTCACTGGGGAGGCTTCTGTGACCACATACAGGTCCCACAGGCATCTTTTAAAGGGCACAGCCTTAAAGGCAGTAGGGTTGGGGGAGGAGGAGTTGGCTACGTGAATTTTTAAGGGATTTGCAGAAAACCATGGAACCCTACAGAGAACCAAGGTCAAAGTGCAGGATGCTTCCTTACCATAAGCCATGGGGGTCAGCTTCAGGACCGTGTGCAGTGGACACTTGAGGTAGGGCAGCTGTTCTGTGGACATAGACAGGGAGAGCTGGCATGTCAGAGACAGTCCCCCTCTCTCTCTCACACACACACCCTCCTCCCTGGGGACAGGGTGCGCACCTGCCATCTTATCGAGGAAGTAGGCCAGGAGGCAGCGCATCACAGCCTGGTGGCAGATGACCAGCACGTTCTCCTGCCTCTCCAGCTCCATGATGACAGGCTCCAGTCGTTGGACCAGATCCTCGTAGGACTGCAAGGGCGAGCAGGGGAGGGTCCCTCAGGCCCAGGAGTGCCCCCCTAAATCTGGTCCCTTATGCCTAAAGCCCTCTCTCCCCCCTCCCCCAGCACAGGGCTGGTCTCTCGGGCCTGATGTGGGACCTGTGATGGCCACGGTGTCTCCCCAGGGGGTAGGGATGGAGACATTTGGGTAATGAGCCACCTCCTCACTCCTGGATCTCCTCACCGGAGGTTGTGGCTAAGTCTCCTCAGGCCTGGCTCTTATGGGAGTAGGGGCCGGCAGCTCATTGCACAGCCCAGGAGACTGCATACAGCTTGGGAGGGAGTGGGGGGCAGTGGGTGGCCTAGGAAAGGGGCCACCTCCCCCATCCTAGGGCCAGGTCCTTGTAGGACTCTGAGGGTGAGGCTAGGTTGCTTCAGGCCTCAATCCTGAGGGGTCACCTCCGTGCCCCACCCATGTGGCCCTACTCTGAACCCACCCACCCTCAGCATCTGGAATTCACATGCAGGCAACTGATGATGTATGGAAAAGACACTGCTACCTTCCAGCCCACAGCAGAGAGAGTAGGCAGGAAAAACGGTGGAGACAGAGCAAGGGCCCCTGGAACTTTCCAGAGTTCAACCTTCAGAAGCATCCGATGTCAGTCTGCTGCCCTGTACCTCTCCCAAGTGATGTAGCCAGTGAGGGACAGACCTTGGACCTCTGCCTGTCCTTGGGCCAAACCGCAGTGTGGAGTTTTCACCAGGAGATGGAACCTAAGCTCTGAGTCAAGTTTCATCCCTCTCTGCACCCATAGTTCCTTGCACACAATGAGCGTTCCTTCAAATAAAGGCTGAGCAGTTGGAACTGGATTTGTCCCATGCTTTGATTATGGAGCAATACCTACAGGTAGATTTGTGCTGACCCCTGGTATTTCTGGAAAAATCCTAGATCAATTCTTCTTGTAACTGTAACTTCCCTGCCAATTTTTTCCCTTGTATCCTCAAGTTTGAACAGCCAGCTGCTTTGTTTCTTTTTCCTATTATTTGGGTTAGTTCTAAATCTGAACTCTGTTTACCTCACAGCTTGACGTGGGGGAATAATCAATGTTACCCAGGGCTATTCGCTGCTGGGGAGAGTGTAGAAAAGGCGCCTGTGAGCCTGGCATCTGTGCTGGAGTACGTCTATGTGTGTATGTGTGTGTGCACACATGTGTCTGTGGTGGGTACTTTTATTTGGCCAATTCCCCAGGCTACCTCCTGGAGTAGGGGGAGATGCAGGAGTCAAAGGTGGCCCCTAGTTTCTGATCTGGGGCCTAGGCTGACGAGGGAACCTGAGGGAAGGTGACAAGTATGGGTGGCTTGTGGTGGCCATGACTCATCTGGGGAAGGTCTCCTTGGGTCTGGACTCAGGGTTGGGGGTAGTTCCTGGAGGCACAGGGAGGACAGGATCACCCTGTGACAAGATGTGGCATCAGGAGAAGTCAAAAGCCTAGGACAAGGACGTGGGTGAGGCAAGACCCAAGCCTCAGACTGGGCATGCTGTCCCGACTCCCTGACCACTTGACCACCCCATGAAGGGCTGAGAACTCCTTAGGAAAGGAGGTGGCCTGGGGGTGCCCAAGGGCCATGAGCCATCTATGGGGGTCCTAGGAAAGCTGAGCCACGCAGAGCCAGGACCACTTAGCTCAGGCCCTGCCCTTCCCAAATTTCCACTCTTGGGAAGGGGGAAGACACTGATGAGGAGCAGGGATCCAATGAGTCTCAGTGTCGGGAGTCCTATGCAACAGAGTACACTCACCACCCAAGGAGAGGCCTGAGGCCTGGGTCACACAGCTGGTATGGTGGAGCAGAAACACACACCCAGGCTGGCCTGCCTCTGAGGCCAGGCTCCTTGTGCCGCCCACACAGCCCCTGCAGAGCCCCACAGGGCTCTGAGCCTCAGGCAGCACTTCCGGGCAGGCAACAGGCAACTGGGCATAAGTCCCAGAACCCCACTTACCTCCCCCTTGGGGTACCGGTACCGGTACTTGTCCTGGTCCCGCAGGGCAAACTCCAGTGGATAATGATCCTGAATCTCCTCATAGGTCATTTCCTCACAGACGCCCTGGGGAGACACCAATTCATCACACTTCCCAGGCCAGAGGGACCAGCCCTGTGAGCTTAGGACCTGTCTGGGGAAAGCAGACCTTCTGGGAACATTGGGCAGGGAGTAGCCCCATCATTTGTAAAAAGCTAGCAGAACAGTTTTGCCTACCCATTCATCTATCCATCTAGCCGTTCATCCATGCATTTCATTTATCCACAAAGATAAACACAGAAATGTTAACTATGTGTCTTTTCTTTTCCGCGCTGTGGAAATACTACTTCTGAGCATGGACTGTTATACAAACTATAAAGCAAGAAGACATCACTGTGTCATTTGGAATATATACATACATAGAACATAGATTCCCTTCTTCAAATGCCATTATAAAAGAGTAGAGAAGAATGCTGGTTAAAAACACTAAGTGTCATTTAAGGGCCCAGAGACGCCCAGAGCAAGCTGGGCCATCATTCTATTAGCCATGACCACCCCTAACTGAGCCCACCTTATGAGTGGCAAGATGGACCGACCACTTCCCAAGAGCCTGTGAGGAGTGACAACCACTCCCCCAATCCAATCCTCTGCCAAGGAGCCCTGAAAGATATCCGAACTGACCAGTGTCCATATTTCCTGGCTCAAACCAAGAGCCAGCAGAGAGAACATGTCCAGGAGAGGAAGAAGCAATAAAATTCCCTTAATAAAAAGCTGCTGATCTCTGCCTTTGTTCTAGGATTTTTTTCTACAAAGCCTTGGTGCAAAGGTGTCTGTTGAAAAGGAAAGATAAAGAAGAAAATTTATAGCTGTAAAAAAGAAGAAAGATCTCAAATCAATAACCTAACCTTCCACCTTAAGATAACGGAAGAAAGAAGAACTAAACCCAAGGCAAGCAGAAGGAAGAAAATAATAATGATTAGAGTGGAAATTAATGAAATTAAGAATAGAAAACAACAGAGAAAATCAATGAAACCAAAACTTGGTTCTTTGAAAAAAATCAACAATATTGACAAATCTTCTGCAAGACTGCCCAAGAAAAAAAGAGAGAAGACTCAAATTACTAAAATCAGGAATGACAGAGGGGACATTACTAGCAGTCTCACAGAAATAAAAAGGATTATAAGGGAACACTATGAACAACTATATGCCAACAAATTAGATAACTTAGATGAAATGGACAAACTACTAGAAAGATACAAACTACCAAAACTGACTCAAGAAGAAAAAGAAAATTGGAATAGAACTATAACAAGTAAGGAGATTGTATTAGTAAAACAAACAAACAAAAAATAACACCACTACCTACAAAGAAAAGCCCAGGCCCAAATGGCTCCACTAGTAAATTCTACGGAACATTTAAAGAAGAATTAATATCAATTCTTCACAAATTCTTTCAAAACATAGAAGAACGAACACTTTCCAGCTCACTCTATGAAGCCAGTATTACCCTGATACCAAAATCATTCACATGTCACAAGAAAAGAAAACTATAGACCAATATCTCTTATGAATTTAAAATCCTCAATATTAGCAAACCAAATCCAGCAATATATAAAAAGGAGTATACACCAAGGGGGAACCATCCAAGGAATGCAGTGATTGGCTTAACATCTAAAAATCAATTAATGTAATACATCATATCAATAAAATAAAGGACAAAAACCACACGATTATTTCAAGACATGTAGAAGAAGCACTGACAAATTCAACAAACCTTAATGATAAAAACACTCAACTAACTAGGGAACTTCATCAACCTGAAAATGGGCATTAAAAAAACAACACAAAGCTTACATCATACTTAATGTTGAAAGACTGAATTATTTCTCCCTAAGGAACAAAAACAAGGATGTCTACTCTTGCCACTTCTACTGAACACTATACTGGAGGTTTTAGCAAGGGAAATTAGACAAGAAAATAAAATAAAAGTTATCCAGATTATAAAGGAAGAAACAAAACTATTGCAGCTGACATGATCTTGTATATGGAAAATCCTGAGAAATCCATTAAAAAATTATTAGAATAAACAAGTTCAGCAAGGTTGTAGTACAAACCCGTTGCCATTGAGTTGATCACAACTCATAGTGACCCTATAGGACAGAGTAGAACAGGTCATGGAGCACCTGGTAGATTCAAACTGCGGACCTTTTGGTTAGCAGCCAAACTCTTAACCACTATGCCACCAGGGTTTTCAGGTTGTAGGATACAAGAGTAATACTTGTTATCGTTGTTGTGTGCCGTTGACTCGATTCCGACTCTCTAGGACAGAAAGTCAATCCTCTCTGGAGGAAGATAATGTTAACCAGAGCATCAAATTAGGTCTACAATTATCCATACAAAATGTCCAGCACTAAACAAAAAATTACCAGGTGTGCATCTTACCCAGAACATATGAAGAACTCCTAAAAATCAATAAGGAAAGCCAGACAATTCAATTAAAAAAAAAAAGAGAGAGAGCAAAAGGACTCACAAAAGATATCCAAATGGCCAATAAACATAGTAAAAAACTGCCATAATTAAAATAACGTGATACTGGGATATAACCAGATACATAAATTATAAGTAAGAACTTAATATAAGAAGATAAATCAACAAGGAAAGGATGGATAAATGGTTATAAGAAAATGAGTTAACTGGGAAAAGATTAGATTTAAAGCTTATGTCAGAACATCAAAATAAATTTGTTGGTCTAGAGTTAAACGCAAAAGAAAAGACAGGAGGGACAGCAGTTACCGCATCTATCTCGTTGAGGACCTTCCACTGCTCATAGGGCACACCCAGCGCCTCAGCTGTCTGGATTGTCCTTTTCATCTGGCTTGTCCAGACCTTCAGGTCCTTGATGTTCTGGTCACTGATGAACTTGGCCAGACTCTTGGCAAACTGAAACATACCGCAAACAAATTCAGACCCATTGGTCCTGGGCTGCCCTCAAAGGACCCCGCAGCTATGGGATCCACAGGTCATACCAGTCTCAGAGAACACAGGTTTGGTGAAAAACATGAACTAACCTCTTAATGACACAAACCCCCACAAGTACTGTACTGTGCATCCTCCCCAGACTCTTCTCCATGGCTCATCATGTCCCCTACCCACATTGAGCCACGCACCCTAGGCTGCATGACCTCCTCACTGAGATCTCAGTATCTCCCTGGCTGTGGCACAACCACCATCTGTCCTGTGGGGACTTAGGTCACTCCTGGGGTGGCAAGCCTCTCCAGGAAGAGGGGATTGGTCAGCGACAGCTCACCTGGAGGCCAGAGGTCCAGGCATTTGCCTGGTGTTTGGTGACTACCTCCCTGTGCGATGGGAACATTCTAAACTGAATGAAGATCATCTACCTGGTCATGTAGCATTGTGGGGTTGCAAATTAGCTATGAGAGCTGGAGCCCAGGGTACGTACACACACACAGACATAGACAAACACACAGCCACCCAGAGATACCAATGTGCCCTCCGTGCTCCACGTGCACTGACCTCTCTGCCCCGGGGCGATAGTCCCGTGTCCCCACCAATCCTGCCCTTGAGGTTGAGCTCACTCTCCCCATGCCGGCAGAGATAGATGGAGCGGGGTGTCACATGGATGTTCATGAGGTAATATACAATGCGGCTCTGGATGTGGTCAGCCACACGGTTCACCACATAGCTCAGCCCCACGTCCATGATCTTGATGTAGGACAGATCCCTTTGCAGAGAGAAGGTAGAGAGAGGCCTGTGAGTGTGACCAGGACCCCGCAGAGGGTACATCCGTCTAGCCCCAGGAACCAGGGTGCTCTGTGCACACACACTTCCATGCCTGTAGAACCTGCATCTCGGACCATCAGGCTTGAGATGACAGCACACAGGCCCATCAGCTGGTGTGTGTGTGTGTGTGTGTGTGTGTGTGTGTGTGTGTGCGTGCGTGTGAGAGACAGAGAGAGAGAGTGAGGGGGGGGGGGGGGGATGAGGCAGGACCAACACATCACGTGTGACACACACAGACAAACCCTATGAGAGGTGCTCAAGCATTACCATTCATCATGATCATGCTTCCAGAAGGTAACATCCACAGTGGTGGGTTAGTCGGACCACATCATCACTTTCCCACTGCTCATGCAGTCCCCAGGCCCCTTCTCACCTACTTGTGAGCTCTCAACGCACTGTCTGTAAGTTGAACCGAGAGACAGTTTTCTACAGAATTGACGAACGCTCCACCCCCCACCCTACCTGGTCAGTTGTCCAGGGATCTGACCCGCCCTTCCCCCAGTGACCCTCTCCCTAGAATCCAGTCCAGGTCATCTGTGTGTGCGGAGCAACTACCACACCCCACACCAAGTGACAGGTGGGCAAGATAAGAAGCACAGAAGGATGGTGCTGGTGACAGCAGCCTATAAAGGCAGCTCAGCCACTGCGTTCCACTTTGGACACGTGCCACGCTGCAGCTTAGAGAACACTTATCTGTTTATATTTTAGGGGAGCTGGAGGAAAAGGTGGGTTTCTCAGGCATCATGCTCTGGCTCAGTCTTGGAGCCCTCAGGATATCGTCATCTGCATTCTCACCGTCTGGACTGCCGGACCTTGGATTAGGGCTCTGGTCATCACCCACCAATAAAGCAGGAGCGATATTTACGACGGCCAACAGAAGCCACTCCAGATAACCTCTCCTAACACACGGGGTCGCCAGGAGTCAGAATTGACTCGAAGGCAATGAGTCTGGGCTTTGGTTAATGCAGTCACATCATGGAACTAGGAGGAGAAACTCTGTGCGGGGGAGACTAGGGGAAACACCGAGAGCCACAGGGAGGCCGAGGCAGCAAGTGCGGTCTGGCTCCGGCCCGGCCTGGGCTGGCTCCAGAGTCCAGCTGGAGGGAGGCTTACGGCCAGTTCAGGGACTATTCTGTAAACACCCCAAAAAACCATCCCTCCGATAATCGCTTGTTTTCCATGGTTCATACGCATTATATAATTTTACGTAATTACAAATGACCCAAGCACGAGTTTATATTCCAGCCTTTTCACTTAATGTTATATAACATAACGTTTTCTCATATCTCTCCGTAATGACAATTTATAACAAACTATGTAATATTGTACCAAGGGGCCACACTATTACTTACTTAACCACTGGCCTATTTATTTTGTAAAATACAAACTGGCAAACTGGGGCCCACCAGTCAAATTCAGCCCACAGTCTGTTTTTATAAATAGGTTTTTTGGAACACAGTCATGCCCATTTATTTACAAAATGTCTATTTGGCTCTAAATTGGCAGAGTTGAGTAGTTGCAACCAAGACCCTATGGTTGCCTTAAATATTTGCTACCTGACCCTTCAGAGAAAAAGTTTGCCAGTCCCTGCTGTAAGACCCTCAACTCTGGGCCTAAAGAACCTCCCCAACCTCCCTCTTGCTTGATCCTCCACCCACAGGGGACAGATGGAACTAACAACCAAGGACCAGTGCCAGCTGCTCAGAGGCAAGATCTGAGCACCACTTCGCAAAAAGCAGGGTGCACATTTAAAGAAGAGCATAGAACGTTTGCAAATGCCTTGTGGGAAGATCCTCCGTGTAGAAACTGGGCTTGATTTTATGATGAAATAGTAGAAAATCCTGACTCACAGTTCCAGATGAGGCAGCAGGGGTTCTGCAAGTCACTGCTGGCCCACAATTTCTGCTCCAAGGAAATCAACAAAACACGCCGGACCATCTCCACCTTTTGGAGTGACCCCCCCAGTTGCCACCACAAGCTGCATCAAGGCAGGTGCTAAAACCTCACTGAGGACTTTCAGAGCTTCAGGGCCTCTGATCTGACCAGCCCTAGGGATGCCACATTGAGCAGGGCAAGCCTGGGAAGCCAAAGGAGGCAGCCAAGTGGGACCCCCTCCACCTCACAGCTGCCCATCACAGCTGCAGGACACGGTACTCTCCTCACTCACCTGTCCAGCTCCTCATCCAGCGACTCATATGAGTTCTCATAGCACTCGATGCGCCGCAAAAAATCCTCCGTGGCCTCGTCGCTATCACGGTTGACATAGTCAGGGCTTCCCAGTTTCACCTGCTGTCAGAGCCAGACACAGAGCAAGGACACTTCAGAGCTGGAGGCCAGGCAGGACCAGGGGCCGCAGAGAACCAGGTAGGAGCGGACGGTGTGGAAGTTGGGCAGGAGGCCAGGCCAGGAGTGGGGCCCTAAGCCAGGTGGGGTCTCCTGATCAGCCAGGGGCTGAAGGCTGGGTTAGTCTGGAAGCCAGTCTGGGACCTTGGAGGCCAAAGGAAGCAAACCCTAGGGGGCCTAGTCCATTCAGAAGAGTCCGGTGGCTCCCTGGTCCAAGTTTTCATACTAGTATCATGAGGGTATTACTGAGCCCCTGAGATTGGAGCCCCTTGTGTTTGTGGTACAGGAGGAGGTGAGGCTGGAAAGGCAAGGGGCCTGGAAGCCCCTCTCCACCTTCAACTGTCTCTCCAAACCCAGATGTGTGTTCCTTGGATAAATGCTGGGGTAAGGGGGAACAGAGGGTGTGGCATGCTCAAGTCTCTCTCAAAACATAAATACTACCCCACCACAGAGCTGACACTCCTTTCCCGTTGCCCAGGAATTACATGGGTGGGGGCGGGCAAAGAAGAAGACAGAGGGCAACCATCGCCACACTACACTCAACACAAGTGGTCCTTGGGAACAACTAGACTCACCTGGCCCAGCGTTTGAAGTTACACTGCTTCCCCACCCTCTAGGCTCAAGAAGGCCAAATGAAGGCCAACCAATACCCCAGCCCCAACCTGGAGAGGGACCTCGCTGTCACGTGCCAACTTCAGTTTGATTACCACCCCCAATAAGATCAGACACTCCACTCACCACGATGTTGGCAGCTATGACCTCAGGATCCACACAGATGGACTCGACAAAAAAGGTCTGTCCACCCAGAGGCAGCGAGATGGGCAGGAGGGAAGGAATCACAGATATATTTAGGGCTCTGGACCTGGCTCCACAGAGCTCCCCACCCCACTGAGGGCCATACTGACCAGCAGCCCAGGCCCCTGGAGGCCCTTCTTCTGGGGGCACCAGGTTGAGGAGCATGGAGCTAAAAAGCAGGTGCCACTCATCCAGGACTCTCCCCTCAAGACTCCCTCCAACCCTAAAAAACCCCCGAAAAACAAAAAACACACAAACAACCACAGGTGAAGAGAAAAGAGCAGCGCTTCTTGTCCAAAACCACACACAGAAACCACATCAACCAGATGCCCTGTTCATGTCAGGAGCCCATGGAAGGAGCCCCAGAGGGCCCAACAGGACCACAGCCCAAACAAGGTGGAGAACGGGGGAGGTCTCACCTTGTAGCCATTCTGTTCCCCAAAATTAAAGATGGTCTCTCTCCGTTCTCGGGTGGTATTTGTTGCATCAAAAACCTAGGACCAAACTGGGGTTAACTAGGCCTCTGGCCCTCAGGAAGGTAGGAGGCCACTGGAGGGCTAAACACAGACATCTCTGGGGACTGGCTGTCTGGCCAGAACCAGCTGCTGCCGGGGCCACCCACCTTCACACCTGCAAGAGCTAGGCTTGAGAATGAGGATGTCTCAAGGAAGCTGGAAGGAATGGATGCCTGTGCTCCTGGCGGGAGCACACCCTTGGCACAGAGGAACGCACTCAGCACTGCTCTGCACACAGCAGGCACTCAGCTCGGACTTGAGCACCAGGACTTCCAGTTAAACCAGCTAAACACAGTGAAATGAACCCACGTTTAGTTCCATTCCATTCTGAGGCCCCAGCAGAATGGAGACAGAAACAGTATAAACTCATAAAGATGAAGAGAACAGGAGAGGAGAGGGCAGCAGATGGGAGATGTCAGTGGAATTTCGCAAGATAGACGTGTGCTGACTGACTCGGAGAGACAGAGGAAGCGAAAACGCAAGAGCTCACAGAGGGGAAGAGGCCAACCAGAGCACATCTGCTTGCGCAGAACCAGAAAACTCAGGAATGGAGGCACCGGCACCACTGAAAAAAGAGACAAGGGTGCAAAGGAAATGAGAGGACTGGCTGGATGGCTGACAAAGAGCAGCAGGAGCCCTGGGCACTCCTCACCCCAGCCAGCCAGGCACTGACCGACCTGAGGCTCCTTATGAAGGACCTGGGGCCTTCCCAAGCACCCTACAGTGCAGTGAGCCCACCATCAGCATGACCTAGCAGCTCTGTTTTTGTTTTTTCCTTAAATTTTATTTATTTTGTTGCTGTTGTTGGGAATATACGTAACAAAAATTGGTGTATACCAATCCAACAGTTTCTACACGTACAATTTAGTGACATTGATTACATTCTTTGAGTTGTGCAACCATTCTCACTCTGCTTTTCTGAGTTGTTCCTCCCTCATTAACATAAACTCATTGCCCCTAAGGTTCCTATCTAATCTTTTGAGTTGCTGTTGTCAACCGGATCCCGTACAGAACCTAGCAGCTCTTAAAATGTCACTTTTAAGAAAGGGTATCCAGCCAGGGCTCACCCAACACTCCAGAAAAACTTCTAATGTGAAAAACAGACATGAGATCAATCAAACACAAAAAAGGAACTTGGGGAAAATGGAGACAGGAAATAGAACAGTAAAAAAAAAGGTCAAAAAACTTACAGTTAATATCCAGAGAGAAATACAAAAGGATACATATCCATGAAACAAGAGTTATAAACTCAGAGAACAAACAAACTTTTGGAAATTAAAATGTGACCATAGAAATTTTTCTTTTTAATTTAACCAAATACTGGCAAAATAATATTGAGGAAGTCTCCCTGAAAGTAGAACAAAAAAAAGATAAAAGGGATAGAAAATAAGGGGGGTGGGGAGATAAAATTAGGGATTAATTGGCTTTCACCACCAGGAATTCTAGAAAAAGAAGCTCAGAAAATGGGAGTGGAATGGGGGATTAATTATCAGAAAAAAGTGGGGGGGAGGTGGATCAAAGAATAATACATGACAATTTCCATGTTCTGAAGGACAAGCATTCCCCGGTAAAAAGAGCCCACCCAGGACTCAGCATGGGTCCTTCAGGGTCACTCTGAAGACCCTAAAGGCCTCCCCAGAGACAGGGACAGGAGGAGGCCCCTCCATCCCGAGGAAGGTTTCAGGAAGACCAGCAAAATTAGAATAACATCAGACTTCTCCACAACTACACTCGTGCCAGAATACAACAGCAATGTCATGGAAATTTTGAGGAAGATGTACTTCCAACCAAGAATTCTATACCCAACCATCAAATGTGAGGATTTAAAAAAAAAAAAAAAAAATTTCCAGACATCCAAGGTCTCATGCAATTTATCTCCCACACATCTTCCTCAGAAAGCTACTAGAGGATGCGCTCCACCAAAACAAGTCAGTTCATCAAGGAAGAGGAAGACATGGGATCAGGAACAGGGCACTCAACTGGGGAGGGAGGAGAAGGGAAAGTTCAGGGTGATGGCTATGCTGCAGACCTAAAGGGTGACAAATACAGACTGGAGCTGGGGGGCGTGAGAGCCCCAGGAGCCACAACTCCAAGAGGAAAAAGGAAAGGAAAGAACAACTTCTGTGTTTGAATGTATAGGGTTGGGGTAGGGCCCCTGCCTGCAGGGACCCATGCCCCAGCCTTGTCCCACCCTTCCAGCCGACTGGAGGGGCTGACACACAGGTGGAATTCCCTTATCCAGGAGTTAGCCGATTCCTAGAACAGTCAGTAAATGCTGGGCAGGGTTCTCCCCACACCAGGAGAAATCACATTTGCCACAGACTTCGGTAACACAATAGCCCTGACTTCTGGGGTGGCCAACAATGTGAGTATTCAGAGGGAAGTCCTGTGGGGTCAAATGCAACTATAAGCCCAAAGGGAAACTCCTGGCCCAGACTCAGCCTCTGGCTTCTTCCTACATAGCTGCTGTGGACTTTTGCCCAAGGGCTGGTACCTGGGGCATCCGGGGGCACACACACACACTCTGCCTTGTCCTCCAGATGCCTGATGAGCAAAGGGGCAGATGTGTGTGGGCTCCATGGGTCAGTCCCAGATGTCACCAGGATGTCACACTCACCGCCACATGTCCCCCCTCCTCACTAAGGAACCGGCGGACGTCACAGAGGGCTGCCAGGGCACACTGCCTTCAGGAGAGAAAACACAGGGTCAGCCTGGCACCCGACCCTGACTGTAGGTCAGTGGGTCAGGGACACATTCTACTCTAGACAGGAAAGGGGACAGCTCCTGGGTCCCCTTCTCTCCTTTCTCTTAACTGACATCTGGAAACTTGAATGGTAAACAGTTCCCTACACTGATATAAAACTCTCCCTAAACAAAAGAGTGGCTCAGTGTGTCTGGATGTGTGCACAAACAACGTAGTTTATGCTGATTTCCTTCTGAGAGTCTGGAATTTTGGTACATGCTAGGCAGAGGGTGCCTATGTGATCAGTCCCCAGTAAAAACGTTGGGCACAGAGTCTCTAGGGAGCTTCCCTAGTAGACAACACTTCACATGTGTTGTCAAAATCCGGCGCTGGAGGAACGGAGTCCTGTGTGACTCTATGGGGAGAGAACTCTTGGACATTTGTGCCTGGTTTTCTCTGGACTTCTTCCCCCCATGCACCGTTTCCCTTTGTTGATTTTGCTTTGTTTCCTTTTGCTATAATAAATCTAAGCAGTGAATCCCACTTGACACTAAGTCCTGTGAATCTTCCTATCCACTCACTGAACCTGAAGGTGGTCTTGGGGATCCTCAACACAACATGCGTGAGTGTGCTCAAGTGTATATGTGTGCCTAGAGGGTGAGCACGTTTGTGCCCATGTGTGCACGTATGGTGTATCCAAGTGTGTACACTTGCCCTTGTGTTGAGGGTGTGACTGTGACTGACTGCACGTGTATGAGTATGTAGGTGCCAACATGTGTGCACACGGACTGTGTGTGTGCATGCACCTTCGTGTGTAGTGTTACTGTGTGTGCACATGGGGTGTGAGAGCATGTGTGCACACACCCAAGTGTGTAAATGGGGTGCATGTGTGCCCACATGTGTACATGGGGTATACAACTATGCGAACATGCCCTCATATGTGGTATGGGACTGTGTGCACAAGTATCTATATGCCTGATGGTATACTGGACACGTGCCCTTGCACGTGCATACGTGACTGTGCGTGTCCTTTTCTAGACCTTCCACGGTGTCCAGTATCAGGGACTGACCTCAACATTGTGTGAGCAACAGGGCCTCTGGAAGATGCAGTCAGCCCTCTCTCCCTGGTTTCCTGTTTAAAAAATTTTGATCCTTTCGTTTTGTCAATTATTTATGGGAAATTTTGGGCTGGTTTATGAGAAATGGCTCTGTAGCCCAGTGGTCAGACTCTGGCTTTGGATGCAAGCAGGAGGGTTTCTAGGAGCAGAGAGTGTGCTTGTAGAAAGCCAGGCCCCCAGCTTCTACTGCTGAGTCCTCCGCTCCAGCTGGACGACCCTGGACCAGCTTCACAACCTCTCTGGGAGCCTGAGTTTCCCCATCTAAATGAATCTCAGTATTTCTACCTTTCAGGGGTGGCCGGAGCAGAACGGCCAGCAGGCCCTGGCAAGACCAACTCCCTTGTTCTTCCCATAAACAATTTGGATTCAGTCAGGCCTGGGTTCAAAACCAAACCCTGAATGACCTAGACAATGCCATCACTTTGTGACCTCAGTCTCAGCATCCGGGAGAGTAGACACCATCATCCACCACAGAGGCTATAGGGAAGATCAAACAAGCTAGTCTAGCAGTGCCCACAACTTGGGGTTGTTTTAGAATTTGCATTCGATGTGTCTTTTGACCCATGCACTAGGTAATACTGCAGTGATGGACAGAGAGTTTTTAGTGGCAGATGGGCCTGGATTCAAGTCTGAGCTCTACAGAGTAGCTCACTGTTATCCTGGGAGCCTCTTGGCCTCTCAGAACCTCAGTTTCCTCATCTATAAAATAACGGGAGGGAAGGGTAACAACAGGTGTCAAGCACCCAGCACACTGTAGGAGTTCAACTATCCGTCCCCTCCCTTTTGTCTGGCTCAGTTTAACCTACAGATAGTCTAGTCTCGAGTTTAACCTACAATTTGGCCACACAGGCCTGAATGTCAATCTCCCCTTCTTGGTGCAGCAGCCTGTCCAGTCTCATTGTCTCACTGACACAAGAGAATAAGTAGCCTGAGGGGCGAAGCCCCACAGTGGAGAGCTCCTGCCCCTGGTGACCAGAGAGGGAACAAGCAGCCTAATATCCAGACTTGGCGGCAGTCTGGTGGCCTCTTGCCTCGTGCACCCTGGGTTGGCAAGGAGTTACTTGATCCCCCACTTGACATTTGCAAGAAGAGCATAGCTCCTGGCTCCTCAGATACAAGCCGGCGCTCAGTTCCTCTGCGTAAGTCTAAGTCGGAGTTTATCACGTGCAAATTACCTTCTCATCAAAGAGAGCATAAATGTCAACTGCTCACCCAGCAGCGTAGAGGCCACTTCAAAGCCAAGCCGAGGCCTACCCTGCACATACCAAGAACGTGCCAAGTACATGGGAAGCACACTCCAAACACACAAACCCAACCCAAAACCCAAACCGACTGCCTTCGAGTCAATTCCGACTCATAGCGACCCTACAGGACAGGGTAGAACTACCCCATAGGGTTTCCAAGGCTGTAATCTTTATGGAAATACTGCTACGCCTTTCTCCCACGGAGCGGCTCGTGGGTTCAAACTGTAGACCTTTCGTTTAGCAGCTGAGTGCTTAACCAAATACACAAGAGTGGGCTTAAGCTGATACTTCTGGCTTTGTGAGAAGGTACCAGAGGGTAACCCTGCTCCCACCCTGTCCCATCCCTGAGGCTTGTATCCCCTGCACCCACTTGGGTTCTCCTCCCCACCAGTTGCCAGTTGTCGTGCAGTGAGTGAGTGGTCTCCACACAGCCAGCCCCTGGCCTGCCCTGGCTAAGCTGGGCTTTTGCCCAAGCCCCTCTCATCTCCCTGAAGCTCTGTCCTCCCCTCCCAAAGATGCTGCTCTCTACAACTCAGTGGCAGGTCAGGGCCAGCCACCAGGAGGCTCACACTCATGATCCCCTCATCCTTGGCCTTATGACATCCCTACCCAACGGCCCAAGATGTCAAGAGACCAATCCTGCCACACAGCTGCCAGGGCAGGAAGGCAGGGCTCCATAGTAACTCAGTCATTCACCAGCAACTTAGCTCCAGGGCTCAGTGAACGGCAGTGATTTGTTAGCCTTTCTGACAGCCCACATACACACACATACACTTACTTCCTGATTTTCAGGCCTTCTTCATTGTCTGGGAGGAAAAACTCAAAAGATTTGTATGTCTTGACCATATCTCGACGATACTGGCCAACGTTGAATTCTGGGGGGAAAGAGAGGTTCAGCTTTTCACAGCCACAGCAGCTCCTGTCAACTCCTGACCCCTACCCGCCTCCCCAACCCCAGGCCCTGCCCACACTCCAGCCTTCTCTCTTCTCCCCGTCTCCCAGAAAGCCCCAACAGGCCCTTGGACAGCCAGGCTGAGCCTCACCCCGTGTGGGCACACCAATCCAGTTCAGGTAGCGAGTCAGCTTCTTGGAGATGTAGGTCTTGCCCCGTGCAGGCAGGCCCACCATGACAATGAGCGTGGGGCAGTTGGTCATGCAAACTGAAAGGCAAAGGAACACATGGATTCGGACGAGGGCCAGGACCCCTCCCAGTGAGCACCTCCTCTCTGTCCTTAGCCTCAGGGCACAGGGTTGGGCATCAGACGTGCCTTCCTGGCCTCCTCCCCTGAGACAGCTCCCTGAGGGTCCCCAGGCCCTAGGCTCAAGCCACCACTAGCACGCCCTCCTTTCCTAGGCCTCTCTGGACTCTCGCAGATGCAGTGGGGTCTCCCTAGCCTGTCTCATCTTGACACGTACCACCAGATATAAAGCTGGACCTGCCACACCCCTGGCCAAACACCGCTGGGGAGTTCCCCAACGCATACAGGACAAAAGCCTTGTCATCCAGGAATCCAAACCCTAACCTCACACACACGCACTGCCCAATAATCACTCAATGTTCCCGGCACACATAGTCCACTGCTTCCCTCCCTGTGGTGAACTTCTCTTCATCCGACAAAGCCCAGCTCAGAAGCTGCTTCTTCCATGAGTCCCTTTTCCAAGGCGCCTCCATGCCCACCTGGTATACCTTCACCCTCAATCCCGGTCATCTCACCCATACGTCTGCTCCCCCAGACTGATTCTGTGGAGCAGAAGCAGCCCTGCAGTGTCTGAACCATTCAACTCGGGGTCCTGGGGCCTGACACAGAGTTGGTGTTCAGGAATTACGGGCAGGACGGGGAAGGGGGGCACTTAGAAGCCCACTAGAGCGAGGGCCACAAAGGCTTCTGGTAGACCACCCACCACTATCACATGTACCGCCAGGTCAGCGTGCCAGTCAGAGAAGCTGCCAAGGCTGGAGGAGAGGATGGGTCTAACCACAGCCCCTCCATCCCCTCCATCCCCTGCCAGTCAGGAAAGACACCCAGGCGGCAGAACTGCCAGCCTCACGTGACACAGCTTTCACTGTGACCTTGCCTCAGAAGCCTCAGAGAGCCTCAGGGCCTGCGTCAGGTCAAACGATAGCAGACAGATGGACAGATGCGGGGACCTGTCACTGCTCCCTTCCACCACCACCTGTTCTGTAAATGCCTTCACCCGGTAGTCTGTGGGCCCCATCCCTCAATCTGGCTCCCTCACTGTCGGGCAGAGGCCCCAGGGGCAGCCCTGCCTGGGGGTCAGGGGTCAGACAGGCCTAGCTTCCAATCCTGACTCTGACACCTACTGACAACTCCAGGCTTCAGGACTTCAGTGTCCTCACCTGTAAAATGGGTTGACAATCCCTCAGAGAGGTCTAGCACCACCTCTGTGTAGAAGCACAAGCACCTCTAGGAGGCTGTGCCCTGCCCTGGCGGCACATCTGCCTGAGGAGGCAGCTGCACCTCACCACTGACTGGACTTGGGACTTGGGCATGGAGGCACCTGTCCGTCCCCAGGCAGGCCCTGCAGAAAAGCAAAGGGTCCTGCTTGCCAGCCGGGGATCCATCATTCCCAAAGCACGACCTTTGGGGCAGATGTGACCCAAACTGTGAGTCCCAAGGGAGCGGGGAGGGGACCCAACAGAATACAGAACACAGGCTGGCAGTGAGCAAGAGAGAGGAAGCTTGCAAAAAACCTCAGTACTGGCTGAAGAGAGAAAAACAAGTTAGGCAAGGTCCGATGTTCCGAGGGCCAGCGGGCAGCTGGGGCCTGTATGGCTTGCACAATTACCAGCCAGCTGGCCAGGGCTCTCAGCAACAGAAGGGCAGTGCATCAGCCCCTAATGCAGGGACTCACCCACCCTGCTCCCTATCACAAGACCACCCCTACCCACTACTCCCTCACAGGCACACCCACGCCCTCAGACTGGGGTTCCGTACCCCCTCCTCACATCTGTCTTCCCAGAGATGCCCCTGGCCTCCTCCCACAGCATTTGGTACAGCGTGCCCCTTCCCCCAGCCCCACCCAAACACACAGTCCACAGTGGGAAGGGCAGCAAATAGGCTGGGTGCAAAACAAGGACAATAAATGACCCCTTACCTCCGCTCCTCAGAGATAAGCTCCCAAGGAACGACCCACAAGAAAGACCAAAGTTCAAGTACGTTCACAACAGCTCTGTTTACCACAGCAAAACACTGGGACAATCCCAGCAGACGAGAAATTGCCGACTGAAGCACACAAGGAGGGAATGCACAGCGCGTGGACCAAGTGGGCTGGGGAAGGGCAGGCCACTGGAAGTGCAGCCCTGAGCCTGCCAGGACCCGGCACCAAGCAAATGGGGCAGCAGAACGCAGCTTTCAACACAAAGCGTGTGCAGAAGGAAATCTGAAGACATGTCAACTCGGCTGCCCTTGCTAGTTCCTTTTCCAGTAAATCTGCTCCAGGCCAGAGGAATCCTAGAAGCCAAGAGACCTGGGACATGCCTGGCGCTGGACAAAGCCTACTTCCTGGAGGCACCACAGGAGCCAGCCACAAGTCCCTGGAGTGGGTTCCAGAACTGATTACTGAACTGTGCCTGCTCCCACCTCTCTGGGCTGGGGAAGGAAGAGTTTTTTAAAATGAGCCAACTTGGCATCATGGTCCCTGTCAGAGGGGACAGAAAGTCCTCTCCTGTTCTCCTGTGCACACACCAATCGTGTCCTCACCCAGGAAGAATCTCGCCACCTTTTGGCTGAGAAAAGCCACCGGACAAACACTGGCCTTTCTCCCGTGCTCCCTGGGTCTCCTCTTCATCCCCTGCCCTGCCTACCCCCAGAGCTCCTCCAGGTCTGACCTGAGGGGCCAGTGATGGAGAAGGTGGCAGCTTCCTGGCCCTCAGGTATGGCCTGGATTTCATCAAGTGGGGGAAAAAATGCTAATGGAGAGTGCCGGTGGAGGAGGCCCAGAACATTCCTCTGTCAACCAGCCCCTAGTGCCCTGAGGTGCAGGTGTGAGGGTCTAGGCACACCCCCAGCTGACTTCCCACCCCCACTAGTCAGCACAGACCAGTCCTGGGCCCTGCTTTCTCCTCCCCACAAGGCCCTGTGATCAAGCCAATTTCCACCCATACAACCCTCCCACCCTCAAGGTTAGGGCTGGAGGCACTGCACGGAAGGGTCCACGTTCATTCACTGCTTACTTACTCCTTGCTGTGAACTCTGGGGACCCTAGCCGGGAGCCCAAACCCCGCCCAAACTGCAGGTCTTATCCTTGGCCTCTGGGGTGTCTCCTCCTCCTCCTCCAGGAAGCCCTTCTCGGGCCCCCTCCAAGGCCCAGGTGATTTCTCTCATCACAGCCTGCACTGTAGTCTCCTGGTCATTATCAGTCCACCTGTCTCTCCAACCAGACTGTGATCTCTGTGAGGGTACAGACCGGGACGGAAGTCGCGAACTCAGCCAGAACCAAGCCATCTGAGCAAGTCTGCATCAGGCAGACAAAGCTCGGAAAACCTTCAGCCAAGAACGTCCCTTCAGCACAGCTAGAGAGAGGGTGACAGGTTACATGAAGGATGAGCCAGGGAAATGTGAGAAGATAACCTCTGACGGGGTGTTCTAAGGCCAGAAAAGGTATTTTAAGCCCCAATCTTAGGTGCCTCACATTTGAGAGATGAGATGGCCAAGGACCCCCAAATGCAGGGAGGCCCCAGGAGCCACCATCACAACCCTGCCCACAGCCCCAGCTTTGCCCCTGCTCTGAGCTGGCTATTCCACCCATCTTTCCAACCAGAAGCTCAGACTGGCGCTTACGTCACTGATGAAGAAAATGGGGGAAATGAGTTGCTCCTAAGCCAGTGTAATTTGGGAGATAATTTTTCAGAACATGGGGTTTGATTGGGGGAAATAACACAAAGAAGGTCCAGGGTATTAAGACATCTGGGAATGCAGGGATGGTCAAACACCATCTAGAGCACAGGATACCGGGCCCAGAGCTAAGATGGAATGTGGCCAAAATGGCAGAGCAGGTTTGGTAGGGCTGGGGTAGGAGCCCAGCTCTCTGACTCCCAGGCCAGTGCTCCTCCAGGCCCCCAGGTTCCATAACCCCCCATGCACTTGTCCTTATCAAGGAGCCCCAGAACATGTGGCCACTTGTCCCATGCAGGCATGGATAGTAGGAGAGGCTTTCAGGGGCTATAGGCCACAGCCAGACGTGGCATCGAGTTACCTGTGCTGGGCTAGCCCACAGCCCCACCCACTCCGACACCTTGAGACCTTCTGACGTAGAGCCATGTTTTAATCCCATATTTGGAGCTTGGGGAAACACAGGCCCTGCCCCAGGCAGGGCTCCCTTTGTGGCCCTGGGGGCTGTGAGACCTGGGCAGGTCCCCTCCCCGTTGGGCCTCAGCTCCCTTCCCAAAATGGGGGGTTTGCTCAGAGCTGATGCTTTGATCCCTGACTGCAGTAGCAAGAAGCAAAGAAAGGATGGTGGTGATGATGAAATTACTTGCTACCACTTATCAAGCACCTGCTCGACTGAGGCTCACAGCAGCATCACACAGCAGGGATGACAGTTCCCATCCCACTGATGAGAAATCAGACACTTGGAGGGCCGGCTCCTGGCCAAGGTCACGTAGTGTTCCTGCCTCCAAAGTCTAGGTTCTCACTTCTTCCTCTTTACATAGCAACAGCAGCATCCCCCTAGTTATGAACACATCGCCCTAACAGACTGGCTGGCAGCACAAGAGAGAGGGGCCTTTGTCTCCCACCTCCAGAAAAGTGTCAAAGGAGTCCTGTGACCAGAGACCCTCAGGATTCAGCACATGGACAGTGGTCACAGCCCCAGGGCTAAGAGAATGGTCACAGCCTTGGCCCCCAACCAGGACCTAGCTCACGATCAGAGACACACCCTCCTCCCACAGGATTCACATCATGGTCCAAGCCAGGCCAGGAGTGCAGGGAGACCCTGGCACATCACAAAATCTCCAAATTTCCATTTCCACTGCCATATCGTGCCCTGAGTTGAACTAGATGTTCTCTGAGGTCCTTGCCAACTTGCAATTCCATTACAATGTTGCAGTTACTCCTAAAACAAATATTTATTTTCCTGGTAATAAAAACTCTGCAGACTCATTTAAGAATAGACAGAAAATCAAGGAAGGGGATTAAATACCTAAGAGTCCAGGAGAGGTGAGCCTCTTAACAATGCCACGAGTCTCCTCCAAGCTTCACCCCCTAGTTTTACTATGCACAGACGACCCCACGTGGATACTTACACACCCATGGACACAAAGACAGGCCCACATGGCACAGTGTTCTTGCTGTCCCTATCCTGAGCACATTGGCACATCCCTGAAATCCCTCCCAAAACTCAGTTTTAGGCCCAGGGGTGAGTGCAGAAGGCCAAGGGGTGCCCTTCCTCCCACTGGAGGACTAGCTCACCCTCAGGCCTTTGAAAAGTCTTCGCTCAGAGAGGCCAAGAGACTGACCTACGGCCACACAGCTCAGACCCGGCCAACTGTCTCTAGCCCAAAGAGAGGGAAGGACTGGGCCGTGACCACGGTAGGTTCGAGTCCTCGCTTGGCCGGTGGTAGGGTGTGGGTGGATTGGCGCCCTCCCCAGGGTGATGACGGCCAGACAAGCCCCCGCCGAGCCGAGACGCCACCACACATCTATCCCAGCTCCCCTGCTTTGCGATGCCTGTCCCTGGTCCTCCACCATTACCGCCGCCTCACCTGTCCCCGGCCCTCTCTCCACGCAAGACCACCGCCCAGGCGGTCCTACCCACCAACCCCGTTCACCTCCTTCTCCCCTCCCGACGGACCCCGCCTCACCACCGCGCTGGCAGGCGTGCAGGACTGGCCGCCCATTGCTGTACGGCATCCAGATCTTCTTCAAGGGGTTCTGGGTCAGCTCCCGTGGGGACGCCATCCCGGCGCCGGGCTGAGCCGGACTGCTCGGTTGTCGACCCAGCTCCCAGGCCATCGAGGCCCCGCCCCTCGGGCCCCGCCCCTTCCCAAGCCGCGAAGACGCAGTTCCAACTCCCTGCAGGCCCCGCCCCAGAACGACTAGACTCCACCCTAACTGAAGAGGTCTGGCTATAGACCACGCAGGCCCAATTCGCCTATGGGCCCGTTAGGGACCAAGCAGGTTCCGCCCCTCAGGTCAGGATCGAGAACGCGCATGTCCAACTCCTCACGCCCTCAAGACCCGGCTTGTGCAAGCCTCGCCCTGGGTGAACGAACCCAGCATAACCAACCCGACCGCGCTGATTTGCATACGCCTCACCCACGGGTACCGCCCCAGGAACTGCAGCTCCGCCCCCTAGGCCCGCCGCTCCCAGCTACGGGTGGCCCCAGGGACCCGCAGGAAGGAGGGGTTTGCGTGCAGTGGGGCGGCGCCAGCGTGACCCGCGGAGCCGAGTTGGTCAGGACCTATTCTGATAGTCAACGTCGCTGCGCCTTGCCGGCCTTGCACCGGGACCCCCGCCCCCGTCTGCTCCGCGCCCCGCGCCCCTCCCCCGCCTACAGAAGCGGCCTGCTCAGCCATGCTGGAAAAGCTCCTTTATCTCATGAGCAGGAATACAGGACGGATCTCAAAACTGATCGTGGTTTCCGTCTTTGCCTTGTCTTCTGAGGACCGCCTGCTAAACCCCGGCCCACCTGGAACTGGTGCGGGAGACCTGGTAACCACACTCTGTATACCCGCCAAGTCCTGGCGGTATCGTCTCCTTCCAGGATTTCATTTTTACCAATTACATTGTTAATCGTGAGCTTTCACATTTTTTTTTAATGAGTTTCAGTCTTTTTATCAGGAAAATGGGATGCACAAGTCATTAATCTTACAAGATCTGGTATAAATTAAATGGGTCAATCTCGGAAAATCCTTTCTTAAAGCATGCTAGTGTTACCAGTTGCTGTGGAATCAACCCCAGCTCGTGGCGACACGATGTCAAAGTAGAACTGTGCTCCATAGGGTTTTCAATGGCTGTTTTTTTTCAGAAGTGGATTGCCAGGCCTTTCTTCAGAGGTGCCTCTGGGTGGACTTGAACCTCCAGCCTTTTAGCAGTTGAGCCCATTAACTGTTTGCACCACCCAGGGAATCCATGTCAGTGTTATTATTTATTATACAATTTATATACCTCTTGTCTCTGAAAATGCAGTAGGAGCAGGGGGCAAGGGAGGGAACCAGAAGCTCAGGAATCCCTGGCTCACTCGTTAGGTCCCCATCCAACCCCTGCAGACTCCTACCTCTTCTCTGTGTCCCTCCCCAGCCCACTTTCTGCCGTGGCCCCCGACCCTGCTCTAACCTGAGTCACACTGCCCTCTAGCGATGTTCTTCACCACATCCCTGGCAGGGTCGCTTCATCCTCCAGCTCTCTGCACAGTTCCTGGCATGCCCAGCCAGGAGCCAGGGGCAGTAGAACAGGGCTGACCCCATGTGCTGGAGGTGCAGTGCCTCCTCCCTTTGCCCTCCTATCCCACCCTGCCTTGGGTCAGTCCTCCAGGCCACGATCTAGCCCTCGAGAGCCTGGCACAGACCCTTAAGATGACTCTGACATAGATGTTTCACCTACTTCACAAGAAACAAAGGTTCAGCAGGTCCATGTGCTGGAAGCCCACCTGGACTGGACCCTGCCTAAAACCAATTCTAACTGGGGAGTGCCCTGCACCAGGCAGGGTCAACCACTTCCTCCTTCCTTGTCCTTCTGTAGGCCCCACCCCCCACCTCATGCCCAGCAGCTCTGAGCACACCCACGGGCAGCCCCTGCTGAGCAGGGTGCCCCTTGTGACCACCCGTCTGCTCCCTACTTCCCCAAAGCTGCTCATTCTGTTCCTGATACAGTCATGCCCTCCTGGCTCCTGGCCACTGCCAAGGCTATCCTGGGGCCAACCTGGCCTCGGAGACCTCATTGCCACGCGCCCACACCCTGTCCAATGCCCAGCACAGCAATCATAGCAAAGGCTCCCTCCTCTAACATCCAAAGACCCCAGCACCTGTCCAGGCTGCCCATCTCTCCTTTCCCAGCCCTCCTGGAATGTTAGTCAAGGGCTGAGGGTAGGTGGCATCCAGGATGGGGCAGGGGACCATGGTCATCTCTGGGCAGCCATCCCCCCACCCAGGCAGTCTGAGTCTGGCTTACAAAGTAAAGCATCTGCTCTGCAACTCCCACCCTTCCCCAGAAAGTCGGACCCTGGGCTGACCCTGACACACCCTCTCAAGTCTGTGTATCTACTTAAGAGGCAACAAGTCAAGGGCCAGAGAAGCCTAGGGCACCTCCCCAAGGCCCGAGTCTGCATCTTCTGTGAAGATGTTCTCCATGGCCCCTCCCATGGCCCCATTTTTGGGGCAGGAAACTGAGGATCAGGAAGGAGAGAAAAGCCCAGAGTCACAGAGTCAGCCCACAGTGTGCGATGGACTCAGCTTAACTTCCAGTCCTTCAGAATCTCCCCTCCCACACCTTGCACTATCGCTGCATTTCCCATCTCTACACCTGGGCTCCTGCTCCTTCTCGCCATCGAAATGCTTTCTTTGCATCAGTAGACACCCAAAAGAATAACTGGCTGTCCTGGCTTTTCCGTCCTCGGGAGTATCCCAAAGTGAGCCAGCTATCCTGCCCGAGGGGTAGGTGAGTGTGCCCAGATGTCAGTGTGCACTTATGTGTAAACATGTCCTGCTCAGCCTCTCCCCACCAGGAACCTGCCCAGCCTGTCCCTGAGAGTCTCCCGTGGTGCCCTCTGCACTGACTTGTGCCACCTCCAGTGTCCCAGCCTACGAGCTGTGGGGTGGCCAGAGTGCTCAATCCTCAGTTGTCGTTGCTCAGACTCCCTTTGGCCCCTGTATCTAACAGGCAGTCCTGGCAGAAGCCCCAAAGCACCCTTTGCAGCATACAGACCCAGCCCTCAGTGCATGCCACACAGACTCCCACACTGGTGCACACGAGCGTGCAGGTGCACACAGACACGTGTACGCAGAGAGATGCACACACAGAAGGCCATACACAAACAAGCCCTGCACCCAGGCACGTGTACAGAGGCGGTGGCTGCTCTCCGCTGCCTCCCTCTGCTCTGAGTCCCGGTCTCCTCTCTCCTCTGCCGTCACTGGGAGGTTCCAAGAGTTCCAGCCTCCTCTGGCCGTTTCCACCCAAAGATCACACCAGGCACCTACCTGGACCCAGAGGTCACAAGGGGGTGTGAGGTTCCAACTTGGGGTTATAGAGCCATGTGACCAAGCAGGCTTGTGAACCCTAGACTGCACCTCCTGATTCAGGCCTGGCACAGGGCACACAGTAGGTGCTCAAAACGGCTCGGGATCAGCAAGGGCTCACAGTAGATGTTCAGAGTGAATTAGGACCGGTGTGATCACAGAATAAGCGCTCAGAGAGACTCATGACCAGGACAGAGCACACAGTAGGTGCTCAGAGCAGCTCAAGACTGGCCCAGGACACACAGTAAGCACCCGAGAAATGCTGGTTTAAGGGCCAAAGCCACATCATATCAAAAACTTCCCAAACGAGCCTCTGAACCTCCCTAAACTGGTGTGACCCCTGGGAGGGTCCTGGACCGACGTGACCCCTCGGAAGCCAGCAATGGGCAAAGTCGGAGGGCCTGAGGCAGCTTCAGCTGGCTGGCCCTTCCCCTGAGCTGGAGGAAGACGCTATTTATAGCTCCCCGGGCCCAGCCCCCTTTCCCCCGAAAGGCAAGTGTTCCCCCTGCTCCCTGCCACTGACAGACTGACGTCCCCTCAGAGCACCCCCAAAACGGGAGAGATCCCCAGTGTCCTAGCGCCCCCTCCACCACCACCCATACTTCACCCAGGTCTCTTCCCAATCCCCCCACCCTCCCCACGCCTCCCCGCGCCTACCCCGCCCGCGGTTCCCTGGCTCCGGGTCCGTCATGGAGCTGCCTTGTTCCGTGCCTCTGTCCACCCTGCGAGCGAACTGGCCAGAGCTACCCCCCTGACTTCGGAGTCTGGGCAACCCCGCCCGCCGGCTGCTAGGAAGACAGTCGCAGGCTGCCCTGTGGCCCCGCCTCTCCCAGCCCCGCCCTAGGCCCGCTCTCCAGGGCAGCTCCGCAGCCTCTACCCATGCGGCGGCCAATGTCAGGGCCCCCATCACGGGCAGTCCCGCTCCCCCCAGCACGGCCTCTCTCTCCAGCCAGAGCTGTCCACACTGCCCGTGTCTGCCCTCATCCGCAGCTGGGGTTGTGTTGTGTACACTGCCCAGAGCTTCTGCCTCCTCCCCAGGCAAGCCTGTCCACACTGGACAGAAAGTCAGTCCCACCTCCCATCTCTAGCCAGGGTGGTCTGCGCTAGCATCAGGGCCATCAGCACCAGCAGAGCCCACCTTGTCATTGCGTGGTCAGGCTGTGAAGAGAAAACAGGCTGAGGCCAAGGCTCCTCCAGTCAGCTATGAGCCGTAGACAGAGACAGGTAATGGGAACAGAGAGGCAGAGGGGGAGAGGGGGACGGCGAGAATAAGAGGGAGAGGCCAAGAGCGAGATTAGAGAGGCCAGGCTGGGGACAAAGAGAGACAGAGACAGTGTGAGACAGAGAAAATCCAAACAGAGAAAGGGGCCGGAGAGACAGAGTGAGAAGAAGAATAAGAGACGGAGAGATAGAAGCACAGAGACAGAGGGTGACAGAGATAAAAATAGAGAGACAGAGAGAGAGAGAAAAGGGAATGAGAGGAAAGAGACGGGGACAGGGGAAAGTCAGGGAGACTGGAGGAGAAAGAGAAAGAGACAGGAGCCATTCCAGAGACATGCAGAATGATGGAAATAAAGAGATTCAAAGAAACAGAGAGAAGCACAGAGGGACAAGAGACCGTGGTTCTGAACAAGAGAGCTTGCAGGAGATCCAGTTCAGAGAAGGGCAGGACCAGGAGCCCTTGAGGAAGAGAGACAGTCAGAGATCCCAGACCGTCATCCCCAGGCTCAGAGACCTCCACTAACCCAACCCCCAGGTTCGCTCAATCCCCAAG